TCACACACTATATATTTTGTCAAAACTCATCAAAATTTAAGTTAGATCTCAATAAGGTGGTCTAAAAGGGTAAGTAACTTTAAAAAGGCAAATGGTGGAGATATAAAGGTCAATCAAAGGGTGAAATAACTAAGGACCTAGATAAAAACAAGAAAGACGAGGCAAAGAGATGAAAGGCGGGAAGGAAAAAAGTAATGGAAGCAGAAAGAGAAACTCTAAAAGAATAATAGAGAGAGGAATTGTTGCTGTTGTCCTTGTTAGGTGCAGCAACCCCGTGCACAACAGAAGCAAACACTGCACGGCCCTGCGCCATCCTCACAATTGTTCCTTTGGCCTGAGCCCATCGGTACGGTGACTGTGTCAATCCATCTCGGCAAGAGCCTTTTCACCGCCCCTCCACTTTCCAACATGATGTCTTTCTCTAAGGGACTGGTTTCTCCTGGCAACAAGTCCAAAGTACGTGAGATTAAAGTCTTTCCATCTTCGACTCTAAGGAGCACACTGGCCTTACTTCTTCCAACACATTGGTTTGTCCAGGTACTTTTCAGTATTCTTTTCCAGTGCCACGATTCAAATGCTTCGATTCCTCTTGGGTTTTCCTTATTCAGTGTCCAGCTGTTAGACACCGACAGAGGGACAGGGAGAAGAAAAACAGGCGTGACGTGACTGGAGAGGTAGAGGACAATCCAGGTGTTCACCATCAATCAGACGCACTGAAGTTCCAGAGACAGGAGACAGGAGATCAAAGAACTGTCGAGAAGGGGAAAAGGTCCCTTGAGCGCAAGGCAGGTGGGGTACACAGAAAGTGAGCAGCATTCTTGCTGACTCAGTCGTAGGAGCTTTCCAAACCTAGAGGCTACCCAAACGAAACCCAGCTCGCAGGCAGCCAGGGAGTCACTGCTATCGGGTCAATGCTGATTCCAGGATTCCTGTGGGTTTCCGAGATGGTAACTGTTTACGGGAGTAGAAAGCCCAGTCTTCCTCCCGAGAAGCGGCTGGCGGTTTTGAACTGCTGACGTGTTGCATCGCAGTCCCGGCCTCACCACTACGCCGCCAGGACCCGTGGAGAGAACACACGTGACTTCCCCATTGGATCGGCCATCACACCGCCAACAGCTGGAAGACACAGCGGGGCCTTCAAAATCCCGAGGAAAAACCATGCATTTGGACATCTATGGCCAGTTCTCAGGGCGGGACTGCGTAAGTGTCCCCAAGTGACTAATGTCACCTGGGCGCACCCACATTCCCAGTCCGGCTGGGGTCTTGGGCTCCCCTTTTCCTTCGCATCCAGGTTGAATCTGCCATGAGGGGAGGCCTCTCTATGGGCGTGCAAGGTGGGGGCGAAGTCCTACTTCTTGGGGTCCCATGGGTCTGAGGGAGGCAGTGGTGGCTTCAAGGACCTTCCAGGGGCTTGTCCCCCACCATCCCGTCCGTCATTTCAGCATTTCTGCGTCCTGGTCACCTGGGCACAAAGGGGCCAGGGGGCTGCGGGGGACCCCGCGGGATACTACCCGCCCTCTGGCTCTCAGGGCCGCCGGACACCTCTTTCCCGCCAAAACGCCAAGTGCGTTCCACTGGTCCTCATAGGGGCGCGTGCACTGATTGGCCGAGTCCCGGTCACGTGCCACGTTGCACTGGGGGAGGCTGGGAAGCAGCTCGAGGACCCGCCCTCTTTATACCGGCTGCGCACGCGCGCGCGGCCCTCACTCACTCGCTCGCTGGCTCCCGCTTGTCAGGGTGGCCGCTGCTTCCGCTGCCAGTTGGAGGACGCCGGCCTACCCGTCCCCCTTGGGCACAGGGAAGTGAAGATTGCACTGGAAGGCGGGCGGGGGGCGCCCTGCGGACCAGCCAGCAGCCGCCCTGTGCAGAAGCAGGTGGGCTCCAAGGCCGGCCACAGATGGCAGGGCCCGGCAGCAGGCAGGGGCCTTGGAAGGTCACCAAGCTGCCGGCCTGCATGATGCGTGAACTCTTGCGACTTTGGTGCGTGCACTCCGCGCGACAGCAGGCGCGCGCATCTGTTGAACACACAAAGGGGCCACACACTGGGAAACACGGACCAGAAGGGGAGTTTGTCTGCTGTCCGCTCGGCTGGGCCCACTGGCCTGACCTGGTGAAGGGGACGCAGAAATACGCAGCCAGCCAGGGTCGGGGTGCCTCATCTTACAAGACCACTAGGCTAAAAGATAGGGTCATCTGCCCTGAGGGGCAGAATCTGACAAAGCCCTGCCCCAGGGATGTAAGAAGATAGGGTCTTCTCCGGGTGCTAAGGTCCTGTTTTCTCACCACTCACTCACGGACTTGGACAGAGTAGGAATACTAGTGAGCCTTAGTTCTGTACTGCAAAATACCAACATCCCACCCCCCCCAAAAAAAACAACAAACCACCTTCACTGCCATGCCGTCAATGCTGACTCTTAGTGACCCACTGTGGGTTTCTGAGACAAACTGTTTATAGGAGTAGAGTCCAGTCTTTCTCCCAAGGAGCTGCTGGTGCTTTTGAACTGCTCACCATGGGGATGGCAGCCCAAATAATCACTACACCACCAGGGATCCATACTCCAAAACAGTGAGTCCTAATCTTGGTTTTTACCATCCAGTGTTACTAAGGGTTTTAAGTTTTACGTGAAAAGGCTCAGGGCACTTTCCAAATCAAATAAATTTGGCTTCATTCGTTACAGAAAGAAGCACCTGCTAAAAAAGGTCTTGGATGAGAAGCATTTGCCATGAGACACAGGTCAAGGTCAAGTATACGTGAAGTTGGCCCAGGATCACTATTTCCACAGCCTTTGTCAGCCACAGTAGCAGCGTCAGCAGGACTGGTGTGTGGACTGATGTGAAAAGGGAACTATCATGGCGTGGACAAGGGATCTGAAGGAACTGGAGTCAAGGAAGAAAGCCTCACCAATAATGCCTGTCATCTCAGGTGTCCACAAAAATGCCAGCATTTTTGTACCACGCCGCTTCCCTTGAGAGTTTAAAAGGCCACTGACCCAACTTGGCCTCTTCTGTTTGCTCTCATTACCACCTCTCTCCACTCTGATCTCAGCCCAAACTGTGAACTCACTTTCTGAAGAACGGAAATACAAGGAACCTAACATACAGCCCTAGAGGAAGGATCAGTGTCTGTAATTAGGCCAGGCAGAGAACACCTAGAATTCTAGATTCTTCTGTCTACAGTTTCGCCTTGTCAGCTAAGAAGCAGCAACTGCCTTCTCTCTTCAAATTACACTTTCCCAGCCATTCAGAAAACTCGCGCGGAAGCCGGAGCCGAAGAACAGAGGAGCATGTGCTTTTGCCCTTGGGGCAGGGTGCAGGCTTCTGTGTGCACGCTGACTCCTGGCACCCATCATGGGAAGCGACACAAGAAGATTCAGACTCTTGGGATGCCAGGGCCAAGGGCATACCTGAATCAGAACAGAGGCTGACAGGGTCCACAGCAACTTTAAATTATTTACAAAGAGCCAATGACACAAAACTGGAAAGGCGCCCTCCCCCCCCTCTCGAGGTCAACATTAACTATCCCTATTATGTCTGATGACACAGGGGCAGAGCCCCTCAAGTCTGGAAGGCACTAGCTCTTTAGTAAATCTGGAAAATTAGGGGAAAGTCAGGGAGAAATTATTTCTAGAGAAAATTAAGTTCCTAAGCTGGTCAGGAGGAGCCCTTGTGGCTGTAGTGGACTGCCAGGTTTGAAATCATCAACTGCTCCGAGAAAGATGAGGCTTTCTACTTTCATAGTAAGTTACAGCTTCGAAAACACAACAGGGCAGCCCTGCTCTGTCCTGTAGGGTTGCTGAGTCAGATGCAACTCGATGGCAGAGAGCTTGTTTTGTAAGAGGCTGGTCGGGAGGTAGCGGAATGACAAACCCTTTACAAAGGGAACCTCGCTCTTCCTGCCCCTGCCTAGAGGTGCCAGTTTTACCTTCTGCATTGCAAGCTCAGCCAGATGGTGATTCTTGAGTTTCATACTTTTCATTCTGAAACATTCTACACAGACACAAATAGAGGAGCACATAAAGTGCTCCCAGATGCCCTTGTGGACCCAACCATTAATACGGGGGCTGGACAACAGCTTTGCCTGTTCTAGACTCCCACATGAATGGCACAGTGTGCACTCCTGCGTGCCTGCCTCCATTGAGCACGTCGGAGGGAGCCTTGCGAGGTGCAGTGTGCCTCAGTCATTTGTCCCTCTCTATGCGCTGTAGTAGTCTATTGTACGGAATACAGTCTCTCCATTCAGGGCTGTTGGACAACAGGGGTACTCCCAGAGTGGGGATGTGAACACTGGATACAGATCTTCGTTACTTCCATTGACCAAGATGAACTTTGGATCAGCCACCTCCTGACTTCTCTGCAGGAGAAACAGGTGTGCTGGCCAGGGAGCCAAGAACATAGCCCAGTATCCATTGGGGTTGTGACATGCAAGTGGGAAGGCTTTAGGAATGATGGGAGTGTTCTTAAACTGGATCAGGGTATTGGTTGCACTGCTAGTAACTTTTCTTAAACCCATCAGACCAGGTGTGTTCATCAGATTCCACCCACAGATCAGAAGGTATAGTCACTGGACTTCAGCGGCTGTATTTTATTTGTTCAGGCATATGCCAATTGAGTTGGGGGTAAAGTTTACAAAGATCTGTAAGAATTTAGTGGAGGGACACAATGGTACTTCTCAGTTTAGATGAGCCCTTTGTAGACTGAACTTGTCTTTCTCCTAGGAGAGAAGCAGCAGAGAGGGAATAACTTCAGTTCCACCAAGAGCGAACTGGGAGTAGAGCTTGTCTTCTGAGCCCAGGGTCCTCAGCTGAGAACCTCCTAGACGCAGGGGAAGATGGGACTGGGCCCATGAGATCTGAATGCCAGGCACAGAGAAGCTGAGACGGGGACTGTTCCCGCCAAAACCTCCCCAGAGCTAATGTGTGTTTCCCGCTTCCCTAACTGTGAGAACGTCCACCTGCAATATTTTTATTCTTATAGGGGCACCAGCTAATTAAGACACAAAATAATCATAAATAATTTTAATTAAAATTCAAAGCACAAATACATCAATGTTACTATTTTTTTGTTGGGAACACATTTTTTTCCTTTATGTTAATCCAAATACTGGTTTATGGAAATAAGACCCACTTGAAACTCACTCTTTCAGGCACTTGGGGTGTAGGAACTGCTAGAAAAAATACAATTTTCCTTTACAGTTAGGTGTAAGCTGCTTTTATCTAAGCAGGACTGACTTTAGGAACCACTGTATCCATTTACATCTATACAATCCTTTAAATGCCAGTGTATTTAACACGGGAGATTTCACGGACACGCTTATCAAGACAGCATGTTTCAGGAACTAGAACCCAACGATTGAGAGTTTACAATGACCTTGGCTTTTTAAAAATAGTCAAGAACATCTCGCTGGGTGTGCCATGAGACAGAGCCAGCCACCAAGGTCCAGCGGTGTCCAGGGCCCAGGAAGGGCTCAGGGTTGCTGAATCTGGTCGCCTGGGTGCCCAGCTGTCTGCAGGCCTCTCCGTGAACCGTATGGAGAAACAAACAACCCCCCTCCCGGCCCCCATTGTGAAGGCAACTTCAGATGGCTGGACTAAAAGGCTGGTCCCAGCTGACCAGGAGGCACGCGCGCGGGAAGGGCCTTCTCGCTGTCACTGTCGCAGTTAGCCCGAGGGTCCTGCTGATGAGCCCAGCAGGCGAGGACGGAGGCATCAGTCAGCGCGCGGCTGCCAGGGCCTGCACGTGCTGCAGGAGCTGCTCGCAGCGTGCAGGGGAGCGGTGCTTGTGGAGGACGGACTCTGTCTCCTCCAGCAGCAGCTCGGGGGACAGGGCAGCGCCCGCCTTGAGCACCTCTGGGAAAGAGCGCAGCACGTGAGGGTGCTGGGAGCGTGGACCTGCCCACCACAAGCCCAGGCCACTTTGGGCCCTGACAGGTGACCTGTGCAGGTGACCTGGGAACAGCCCTGAATCCTCTGGCCTTTGCGCCTGACCACTGGCTCTCCGTGAATCTTTCCCGTCTGTGAGCTCGGCACCATCGGCAGACTCACTTGCAGAGATGCTCCGCTCCAAGTCACGGTGGAAGCGTGGGCAAGCTGTTCACCAGTCACGTGCACAGAAGCTTCAAACCCCCAGAACCCTGCTGACCACGGAGCAGCGCGCGCGCGCGCGCGTGTGTGTGTGTGTGTGTGTGTGTGTGTGGCGGGGGGGACACAAACTGTGCGTCTCAGAAGCAGGCTTTACTTTGCCTCAGGCAGCAGCAGTCCACACAGCCCTGAGCTGGTGGCTTTCAGATTAAGGGTATCAAAGCCACAAGGGTCCAGTGGCTGTCGCCCACCCTGCGCACACCTCTGGGGCGCCCAGCCTGTGCATGTTCTGTGCTGAGCGGGGCTGTTGGGTCATCAGGTTACGTGTAGGGAGTGGCCCCTGCCCTTGGGCTGCCGGGGCCATCTGTATCTGTAGGGAGCGGTCACTGTTCCCAGCAGGGTCACCTACAGGGAGCAGGTTACCAGATTTCTTCTGAGGCTACCCTGGGTGGACCCCACCCCAGCCTCCCTTCAGGTGGCGGCCTGGCAGCTCCTCACACTCCCACCCCCCCTGCGCTGACACAGACATGCACCCCTGCGGGAATGCAGCGAGAGGAGCCGCCCAGACATGGCGCTGACGGCCAGCTGTGTGGACAGAGCGTGATACTTCTGGTACGTACAGTGAAGCAACCCCCTCCCTCCACAGGGGCACACTGGCACCCTGTGCACTCCCCTCTGGCAGCAGCTGACCCGGCTCACCTAGGATGGCGTCCTGGACGGCAGGCTCTGGGTCGTCCAGGTACACCAGCAGCTCCCGGTATAGGTACTGGATATCACCCTGGTAGTAGGCCTTGCTGTCGTCCCTGCGCACACACCTGAGCCAGGTGGCCAGGGTGGTGGCAGCCGTGAGCCGCACCTCGTTGGAGGCATCATCCAGCCGCTTTAGGAGTTCTGCAGGAATCCAGGGCAGGGCCAGTGAGGCAGCGCTGGGCCCCAGCCCACGCCCTCAGGGCTATCGCACCTGGAGCCCACTCACAGCAGGAGTGTGGACGGCCACTGGCTCAGCAGAGCTAGATCCTGACCTTCCCTGCTCTGGCCGCCCCAACTCTAGTTCACAGACTGTCCCCTCCACCATAACATGGGGGACTCAGAGCCCCCACTGCCGGGCAGTCCATGCCAACTCATGGCGACCCGATGGGGCGGTGGGGCTGCCTTGTGGGCGTCCAAGGCTGCCAGTCTTTACCAAGACAGACGGCCTCGTATTTCTCCCATGGGGTGGCTGGTGGGTTCGAACCACAGACCTTTTAGTTAGCAGCCTATGTGTCACCCCAGTTCCCGTCTGCTGTCCTACCTGGGTAGATCCTGAGGAGCTGCTCGGGCTCGCGCTGGTCCCCCGCGGTCTCCAGGAAGAGGTTGGTAACGCGGCAGGAGAGCAGCCGGGCCGTCGGAGATTCCTCCTCCAGGACGGTCAGCACCTGTGGCATCAGGGCCCCTTGTGCCTCCAGGATCTGCAACAGCCGGGAAGGGCAGCGGAACGGCCACCCCTCAGCACAGGCCCTGACCCCTCCAGGATCCGTGAGACAGAGGGAGGCATTGTCCGAGGGGCCATGGTGACACTACCACTGTGGGGCTCCCTGCGGCCCCAGGATCTGTGACAGAGATGCCCTCCTCTGCGTGCTCTGGCTGTGAAGACCAGAAGGGAGGGCATCTGGAAGGCTGCCTCTGATGGACTCTGCCCAGGAAGTGCGTGGGAACCTTCAGTCCCCTGACCATCTCTGCTCAGCCTGCTGACCATGCTCTGGGCTGCATGCTCATCACTCAGGCTGGGCCTGGGCCCCTAAACCTGGAGAGGCTTTAGCTCGAACAATAACCCCGCACGCCAGGAGGTGGCGCTTCCGCCACACAGACGGGATGCTGCTCCCACAGCACGGGTCCTTCCTAGCCCACCAGGGGATGAGAGCAGCCTTCCCCGTGAGGCTGAGCCCCTTTCCCGGGCAGGAAAGCATTAGGAGTGAACCACCCTGGGGCCTCTGATGTGCCCCACAGTGTCCCAGCCCCTCCCCACCCACCAGGGACCTGCCCACCTGCCATCTGCCTCAGGGTTTGGCACTGCGAGCTGGCTGACCACCTAGGTGCTGAGGCTGCAGGGAGAAGCCTGCCCCCAGGCCAGAAGCTGAGCCTTCCAGAGGAGCCCTGCACAGTGGGTATGGGCCTCACACTACAGGTTTGCTGGGCTCCCGGGTCGCCCTGCTCAGCGCGCATGTCATCCCTGTGACCCCACCACCCAGACGGGACTCCTTGTACCTGCTCAGCCGACAGGGCCCCAGAGCTGAGCAGTGCCCAGAGGCAGGACATGGTGGCCGTGCGGATGGCTGCAGCCGTCCTCCCGGCGTGCCACTGCAGGTTGGGGACCAGGATGTCCGACACCAGTGTCTCGAGGTGGCTGTGGAGCTGCCTGCGGGCAGAGCATAGAGTTGGTGGGGCGGCTGAGCGCGGGCGCGCGGGCACCAGGGCAGGGGCTCCAGCCCAGCCCCTGCTGGCTCTCCTGAGCAGGCCTTAACAGGAGAAAGCGTGGGAACAGCCTAACCCCGAGCCTGTGTCCAAACATGCTGGACATGAGGGTCCATCAGGGGAGGCCAAATCAGGCACCCAATGACCTGACAACCTCCCCCCACTACCACTCAGAGGTGAGAAGCAGCTTTCACCCCACATTCTCCATGGGTCAGCACCCCCTGAGCAGGCCCCTGTCAAGGAGATCCCAGGCAGCTTCTTCTAGGGGCCTGCCTGTCACAGGGACGAGGCCATTGGGCGGCTCACCTCACCTGCACTGGCCAGAGACTTCTACAGTCAAAACAATTTCCTTCCAGTCCCTGGACTTCAGTCCTCACACCTCCCTGGGCTCCGGGTCTCCCAGACTCACACGGGGTCTGACCCGCCCCTGCCGTCCGAGCTCAGAGCTGCACCCGAGGCAGGGTCTCACCTACCCCCTTGAGTCCACCGTCTCACTCGCTCTGAGCAGCAGCCTGGGCAGAAGCGAGAGGAGCTTCAGGCGCATTGGAGGATCTCGAGTGGGCTGCAGGCAGCTCCTGAGGGTGGGCATCACATGGTGGAGGACCTCTCCCACGGCGGGGCCTGCAGGTCAAAGGGGAACCTGAGTGTCCCTGGTGACTCAGATCCTGGTCTTTCAAGAAGCAGGGGCGAGGGGCGGATCAGAGCCCATTCCACTAGGGGAAGGGGACCAAGGTGGGGGGCTGGCCGAGCAGGTGCTGTGCTGGGGGTCCTATGTTGGCTCAGGTCATGGACAACACGTTTTCATTCGGCTCTGTACACCAGCCAGACACGTGTCGGCATTGCAGAACATGGCCAAGGAACAGAGGTGGCAGCAGAAGGTCACTGCTCCCTCTGAGGACCTGGGTCCACCAGAGTCCTTATCAGCCTGTTACAGACTCAGCACCAGTCGGTGTCATGTTTAGCCCACACACAAATGGCCTCGGGAAAACAGACAGGGCGAGGCAGTCCTCGTGGCCACTACTGCCGAGTGCTGTCCCAGCTCATGGGGAGCCCACAGGTGTCAGTCAAATGTGCCCTGGGGACTGTCCGGGCTGGGACTTTGGAGGAGCCTGTGGGTGGGCGCCACCCTCCAGTTCACCTCGCAGGCACAGGTAGGTTCAGACACTCAGGGTCCTGGTCAGGCACCAGAGGTGACTTCTGAGGGCACACACCTAACAGCACCCTGTCCCGCCCCCTCCCAGGATCCTAGGACTCGCTCAACCAGCACACAGTCAGCCCTTTCCCACAGCGCGCCTGCGTGTGCTACAGATGAACATGTAGATGTCAGCCTGGGAAGCTTGTGAGGCCACAGAGTACGTGCCACCTCGTGTGTTGGGGGTGGGGTGGTGGGCAGAGCAGGGGAAGGATGGGGCACAGATGGGCTCCCGAGACCAGCAGGTGGCCTGCAACCTCAGAGACACAGAAGTCAACAGAGATCTCAGCCATGGCTTCCACAGTGATGAGGCTGTGTGCACTAGTGGACCTGCCTCATCCCCACCACCCCCAGCCCCATGTTCAGCAAGCATCTCCCAGCCTCACTGTCACTGCGGACCCCACTTCCTGTCAGCCTCCAGTGGGCGAGCACCCTGCCCTACAGAGGGACTGACTGAGTGGGCTCACACTAACCACCAGGAACAGGATGTTGCTCCCCACAACCATGCGAAGACCAGTCTAGCACCCCGGTCACGGTGCCCTGGTCCCATGAGGCAGACGTGCCAACCAACAAGTGACATGGGTAGTGACGTGCAGAAACACCTCCCAGAACGGCCACAGGGGACAGACTGGAAGTGGTCACCCACAGGGGAAGGGCACTGTGGGACTTCCACCCATGTAGGTCATGTCTGAGAAGCCAGGTGTGGCAGTTACATAATCTGTTGTCAATTTGAGACTTAAGAGTGAAGGGGTGGAATCTAGTTTATCAGGTTGTAGCTTGCTGATCGCATTTAGAGGCACTAAGGAGATAAATAGTTCACTAGACACATACTACATGGAGCTACGCTGGAGCCCTGGAGCTGGAGGAGCCACGTGGAGACCCACACCAGTGCTGAGATGCTTCCAATGCCACTGGGTCCATAAGACTTTCCACCCACCAGCCTGTGATCTTCCTGCATTTGGCATTATCGCATGGCTGCGATAAGTGAGTCTAAAGAGGACAAATGGGCTAAGATTGGACTTTGTGGACTTGATCTGGATCGGGAGGTTTTCTTTGTGTAGTAGTTTGCTCTTTGATATGAAAGTCTCA